GAGCGCTATATTATAGAACACGAAGCTATGTGGAGTTTGAGCTTTACGTGTAGGTTTTTTTTTTGTAGGCATTGCTGAACTAGTTATGTGGATAATATAGAAAAATGTTTGGAGTTTGATAGACCTTACCAATACAGCAAACAGCTCTATTTTTCCTTTACATAGACTCATAATCGGTTTTATTGTAAACTGACTTAAGTTAAGACCGAAAATTTAAAATCACTTTTTTACTTTCTTAACTAGCGGTTAAAGTAATCAATCAATTTCAATATTAAATTAGTTTTGTTATAGTTAAGTTTGTGATATTATAATAACAAAATTCCTTTAAGCAAAATATATCATCTAACGCAGGGACAATTATTAATTATTTAACAAGGGGTTTTAGGGGTGGGTGACTATTTCGAAGGGTAGTGCATGTGTTTTCACCTGTGCTGCAGCTGTTCGCTTTTAGGACCTTTTGTCGCCCCATCCTGTCTGAAATGGGAATAGCGACACATCCAGAAATTTAACTCCTGATTTGGGTTTTTTGATTCTATATTGATTTTGACTTGATTCAAAAATCTTTAAAAGTTCCTTATTAAGATTTTTACATGTTGCCATTTTTCATGGAATCAATTTGAAATTTCAGTATGATGAGTTCTTTTTCTTCGTCTTTTTACTCTAAAAGTTTCAAAATTTTTCCATGACGAACAAAACAAACCCTATAGCTACCTGGATTCACATTCTTATAATAGAACATTAACCATTGGAGGTATAGGAAATTCAATGTCAGAAGTAAACAAATTATAGTTGATGTTACTTTAGAGTCGCAATGTGATAACACACAAAATTATTATAAAATTTCTCCATTTTATTATAGGCCATCAGAAATAGATATGTTGATATCAGACTTTGATTTACTGGTTCCAAAGTTAGGTCTAAACTTACCTATGTTGCAGAACAATAAATTGGGTTGGCTTATCTGTGGAACTGGTCCTGCTTACCCATACATTAATATTAATCAGGTGAGCAATTTGAATGTGTCACTATTTTGTCAAAATTCTGAAGATATTAATGAAACTAAATAGTCGTAGGTTCTGGCAGCTATAGAAGAGGTGACCAATAAAGACTTTTTATCATCTGAGTATTAGGCTTGATTTTTAGTATGTTCTACCTGAATTTTTAGTGTGTTCTACCTCAAACCCTCAAGAATAGAGCCTCAAAGTTTCATCTCTACGTCTCGATAGTTTTATAATTGTAAAATAGAGGCTTGTCAATGTATTCATTTTTGTCTAATTTAGAAAATTCGTAACTTTATTGTGAGCGGTTTGATCAGCCTGTATTTTCAGTATGTTCTACCTCAAACCTTCAAAAATAGAGCCTCAAAGTACTATCTCTGCGCCACCAATAGTTTTTGAGGTAAAAATTCCAAAATAGAGGCTTGTCAATGTAATCATTTTTGCCTAATTTGGAAAATTCGTAACTTTATTGATAGCGGTTTAATCAGCCTGAATTTTTACTATGTTCTACCCCAAACCCTCAGTAATAGAGCCTCAAAGTTTCACTTTGTGCCCCCGATAGTTTTCGAGGTAAAAATTCCAAAATAGAGGCTTGTCAATCATTATTGCCTAATTTAAAAAATTCGTAACTTTATTATTAGCGATTTGATCAGCTTGAATTTTTAGTATGTTTTACCTCAAACCTTCAAAAATAGAGCCTCAAAGTTTCATCTCTTCGTCCCTGATAGTTTTTGAGGTAAAAATTCCAAAATAGATGCTTGTCAATGTATTCATTTTTATCTAATTTGGAAAATTCGTAACTTCATTGTTAGCGGTTTGATCAGCCAATTTTTAGTATGTTTTACCTCAAACCTTCAAGAATAGAACCTCAAAGTTTCATCTCCGCGCCCCTGATAATTTTTGAGGTAAAAATTCCAATATAGAGGCTTGTCATTGTATTCATTTTTGTCTAATTTGGAAAATTCGTAACTTTATTATTAGCGATTTGATCAGCTTGAATTTTTAGTATGTTTTACCTCAAACCTTCAAGAATAGAGCCTCAAAGTTTCATTTCTGCGCCCCCGATAATTTTTGAGGTAAAAATTCCAAAATAGAGGCTTGTCAATGTAATCATTTTTGCCTAATTTAGAAAATTCGTAACTTTATTATTAGCGATGTGATCAGCTTGAATTTTTAGTATGTTTTACCTCAAACCTTCATAAATAGAGCCTCAAAGTTTCATCTCTGCGCCTCCGATAGTTTCTGAGGTAAAAGTTCCAAAATAGAGGCTTGTCAATGTATTCATTTTTGTCTAATCTGGAAAATTCGTAGCTTCATTGTTCGCGGTTTGATCAGCCTGAAATTTTAGTATGTTCTACCTCAAACCTCCAAGAATAGAGCCTCAAAGTACCATATCTGCGCCACCGATAGTTTTTGAGGTAAAAATTCCAAAATAGAGGCTTGTCAATGTAATCATTTTTGCCTAATTTAGAAAATTCGTAACTTTATTATTAGCGATTTGATCAGCTTGAATTTTTAATATGCTTTACCTCAAACCTTCAAAAATAGAGCCTCAAAGTTCCATGTTTTCACCTCCCATAGTTTTTCAGGTAAAAATTACAAAATAGAGGCTTGTCAATGTATTAATTTTTGCCTAATTTAGAAAATTCGTAATTTTATTATTAGTGGGTTGATCAGCCTGAATTTTTAGTATGTTTTATCTCAAACCTTCAAGAATAGAGCCTCCAAATTTTATCCCTGCGCCCTTGATAATTTTTGAAGTAAAAATTCCAAAATAGAGGCTTGTAAATGTATTCATTTTTGCCTAATTTGGAAAATTTGTAACTTTATTATTAACGGTTTGATCAGCTTGAATTTTTGGTATGTTTTACCTCACACTTTCAAGAATAAAGCCTCAAATTTTCACTTCTGCGCCCCTGATAGTTTTTGAAGTGAAAATTCCAAAATAGAGGCTTGTCAATGTTTTTTCATTTTTGCATAGTTTGGAGAATTTGTAACTTTATTATCAGCTTGAATTTTTGGTATGTTTTACCTCACACCTTCAAGAATTCAGCCTCAAAATTTCACCTTTGCGCCCCTGATAGTTTTTGAAGTAAAAATTCCAAAATAGAGGCTTGTCAATGTATTCATTTTTGCCTAATTTGGAAAATTCGTAGCTTTATTATTAGCGGTTCGATCAGCTTGAATTTTTAATATGTTTCACCTCAAACCTTCAAGAATAGAGCCTCAAAGTTTTATCTCTGCGCCCCCGCTAGTTTTTGAGGTAAAAATTCCAAAATAGAGGCTTGTTAATGTATTCATTTTTGCCTAATTTAGAAAATTCGTAACTTCATTATTAGTGGGTTGATCAGCCTGAATTTTTAGTATGTTTTACCTCACACCTTCAAGAATAGAGCCTCAAAGTTTCATATCTGCGCCCTCGATAGTTTTTGAGGTAAAAATTCCAAAATAGAGGCTTGTCAATGTATTCATTTTTGCCTAATTTGGAAAATTCGTAGCTTTATTATTAGCGGTTCGATCAGCTTGAATTTTTAATATGTTTCACCTCAAACCTTCAAGAATAGAGCCTCAAAGTTTCATCTCTGCGCCCCCGATAGTTTTTGAGTAAATAATTCTAAAATAGAGGCTTGTCAATGTTTATTTTTGAAAGAAAACATAATATCCTCTTGACTATCTCAGCCAAAGAACAAAATCAAACGCAATATGTACCATATAAGAAAAATACAAAACTGTTAAAAATTATATACGGGGTGGTTCAGAAATGACTAAAACTTATCATCCTAAAACCCCCATACTCTATGCTTTTAAAAAAATATTCTAAAAAAACCTATAATTTGAACTTTCCTTATTGAAACACGTGTAGCTTCTAAGTGAAAAATCGACCCTGTATAAAATGCTAAAATATTTTCTAAAAAAAAACTATTACTATCAAATTCCGGTTGAAAAAGACTCGCAACGTAAAACTGCGCTCGTAACGCTAGACAGTATGTTTGAATTCACGCGCATGCCCTTTGGGGTTGTTAATGCACCGGCAGTGTTCCAAAAATTAATAAACAGTGTAATCTGATCTTTGCGTTATACCATAGCGATGGCATATATGGATGACCTGGTTTTTACCGGCAATATCGGTTGATCAAGGACTTTATTTCCTTTTCGAGACTATAGATTTTTTGGGCTTTGATAATCCTCAAACGGGATTAAACCGGGTAGAAGAAAATTAAAGTGTGTTTTAGACTTTTGTGAACCTAGAAATTTGGCTAATGTCAGACTATTTTTGGGACTCTTCGTACACAGAGGTACACACAGATGCAAGCTTAATTGGATTTGGCAATATCATTCTTCAGAGACAGGCAGATGATCTGATGCACCCTATAATGTGAATAGAAAGACTACACACGAAGAACAGAAATATTACTCATCAGAATTAGAAACTTTCTGAAGATCTGAGACAAGATGCGTTAGAAAAGTTCAAGAGAAGTAGAGAGAGAGAGAGAGAGAGATTTAATAAAGGAAGAGCAAAGGAGACAAACTACATCTCAGGAGATCTTGTCTTAGTTAGAAAACGATCAAATCCACCTACAGGCGAATCAAAAAAACTATTGGAAAAATATAAAGGATTTTATGTTATTGTGGAGATGTTTATCGAATAGAAGACCTTCCTAAGACGCAGCCTACTCAAAAGATCTTCAAAGGAAATAGTAGTTGCTGTTGATGCAATGAAAAGATTCAAACTATCTAAATGTGATGAATAAAATAGAAGAGACCTTACAATAAGAGTATACATGAGGCTTTTACATTGGAATACATTAGCCTCGAAAAAAAACCCCAAATATCCAGAAATTCAATTGAAAGATAATACTGCCATCTATAAGCTTTCCAATCTTTTAAAGACTGGTTCAATAAATCCAAGCTGCGCCATCTTCAGAGTGAACTTCACGATGCTTTGTGGAGCTTTATTCTCAAACTCAAAAGCCCCAAGCCCCATAGTTTGCTTGTACGATTTTCTTCCAGAATCTTGACAGATTGGTGACAAATAAAAACACAATTATTATTTCAAAAAAAAAAAGGATATATTTGCATTTTTACAAATTCGTTAAACTACCAAAAAAGTTCCATAACAAAATATCATAAGCGCAATAGTTTTTTTTTTTCATGTGATAAAACGACTTAAATTAAATATGCCTCAGGTTTTCAATATGTTCATGGAGAAATTTCTGAGGCATAGTTTTGGGACCCATTTTTTCTTAACCATTCCAAATAGATAATTGACTGAAATCAATTATTTTCCAATTAGTCCAGCCGGCAAATACTTTATGCTGGAAAATATTACGAAGTTAATGATATTATGTTATTATGTCATTTGTGGGTAGTCTGTCAAGTAAAATCTGAGTTTTCGAGCTCGAGGACCCTAGGGAAAGTCGAAAAACCACAAAATATTTAATTTTGCGTATATTTTTTAGGTCACGTGTTTTAACGGAATACATATAATTCCTACTCCTTCTCCTGATCAAATAGTGCCATTTGGGCCTATAAATGCCCCCGCAACCTTTCAAAGAGGAATGCCTTGTCTGTAATTCGCTTGTCTCTGGCTGGAAATTCTACTCCTTCTTCTACTGATCAAATAATACCATTTGGGCTCACAAATGCCTCCGCAACCTTTCAAAGAGAAATGCCTTGTCTTCATTTGTTTTGATGATCACCTCGGTATGTAATATACTATTTTGAAGGAAATTTAATTTTCTTCATCTTTATAAATAGATGTATTCCGCCAAAAAATGCATGGTTTAGAAGTTATAAGCAAAAAACTGGGAAAATATTTAGGCCTTTTGACTTCCTCCCAAGTTAGCACAGGGTCCTCGAGGCCGAAAACTTAAATTCTACTCCAAAAAACCATTTACTTCGGAATACTTTCCAGTTACCCCCTTGCCTGCTGGCCTAAATCTCGCACTCGTACAAATAAATTCGTAGAAAAAACAACTAAAATTGCTTTCTAGTTTTTAAACCTAAAACTAGTTTTAGAAAAAGCTACACGTGTATTTTATTATGGTACAATATAAGAGCATGAACTACTAATTTTTAATATTCCTTTTTGTTTTAAACCCCCTGTATAACCCACACGACACAAATATATTGTTGGAATATTCATGGAAATATAAAGATCTATTCCTGTGACAGGAATATCCCAGGCATATACTTAAGTTGCTATAAAATATACCACACATATGGCAACTGGATATTGGAATATTCAGTGAATATGCAATATCCTTGAAGAATATCTGATGAATATTCCTTGCATATTCATCAGATATTCACAAAAAAACCTCCCTCTCAAAATCCGACCATATCCAAAGATATGCAAGAGCGTGACGACCTGAAAATAACCATATCTTTCCCGACGTTTGTATAAAGCTATGTAAAAAAATCTTCCTTAAGGAACATGCAAAGATGATAACCTATAACTTCATGCCTCGAATATACCAAATTAATACAAAATATGCTGAGGATATTACTGGAATATTGCAATAAGTTTGTGGGCATATACCAGCAATATTAGGTGCCGTCTGGGAATATACATACTTTCAAATAAATCAGGACGGTTTTTTTTAGAAAATATTTTCGTATGCTTTAGCTTTTTATACAGGGTCGATTTCTGACTTAGAAGCTACACGTGTTTTTAATAAGGAAAGTTCGAATTTTTTTTTTAGAAAATATTTATAAGCACCTTCATGAAAATGATTCAAATTATAAATTTTTTAGAATATTTTTTTAAAGGCATAGAGTATGGGGGTTTCAGGATGATAGGTCATTTCTGAAACACCCCGTATATAATTTTTAACAGTTTTGTATTTTTCTTATATGGTACATATTGCGTTTGATTTTGTTCTTTGGCTGAGATAGTCGAGAAAATATTTTGTTTCCTTTTAAAAATAAACATTGACACGCCTCTATTTTAAAATTGTTTACTCAAAAACTAGAGGGGGGCGCAGAGATGGAACTTTGGGGCTCTATTCTTGAAGGTTTGAGGTAAAACATACTAAAAATTCAGGCTGATCAACCCACTAATAGTGAAGTTACGAATTTTCTAAATTAGGCAAAAATGAATACATTGACGAGCCTCTATTTTGGAATTTTTACCTCAAAAACTATCGAGGGCGCAGAGATGAAACTTTGAGGCTCTATTCTTGAAGGTTTGAGGTAAAACATACTAAAAATTCAGGCTGATCAACCCACTAATAATGAAGTTACGAATTTTCTAAATTAGGCAAAAATGAATACATTAACAAGCCTCTATTTTGGAATTTTCACCTCAAAAACGATCGAGGGTGCAGAGATGAAACTTTGAGGCTCTATTCTTGAAGGTTTGAGGTAAAACATACTAAAAATTCAGGCTGATCAACCCACTAATAGTGAAGTTACGAATTTTCTAGATTAGGCAAAAATGAATACATTGACGAGCCTCTATTTTGGAATTTTTACCTCAAAAACTATCGAGGGCGCAGAGATGAAACTTTGAGGCTCTATTCTTGAAGGTTTGAGGTAAAACATACTAAAAATTCAGGCTGATCAACCCACTAATAGTGAAGTTACGAATTTTCTAGATTAGGCAAAAATGAATACATTGACGAGCCTCTATTTTGGAATTTTTACCTCAAAAACTATCGAGGGCGCAGAGATGAAACTTTGAGGCTCTATTCTTGAAGGTTTGAGGTAAAACATACTAAAAATTCAGGCTGATCAACCCACTAATAATGAAGTTACGAATTTTCTAAATTAGGCAAAAATGAATACATTAACAAGCCTCTATTTTGGAATTTTCACCTCAAAAACGATCGAGGGTGCAGAGATGAAACTTTGAGGCTCTATTCTTGAAGGTTTGAGGTAAAACATACTAAAAATTCAGGCTGATCAACCCACTAATAGTGAAGTTACGAATTTTCTAGATTAGGCAAAAATGAATACATTGACGAGCCTCTATTTTGGAATTTTTACCTCAAAAACTATCGAGGGCGCAGAGATGAAACTTTGAGGCTCTATTCTTGAAGGTTTGAGGTAAAACATACTAAAAATTCAGGCTGATCAACCCACTTATAATGAAGTTACGAATTTTCTAAATTAGGCAAAAATGAATACATTGACAAGCCTCTATTTTGGAATTTTTACCTCAAAAACTATCGAGGGCGCAGATATGAAACTTTGAGGCTCTATTCTTGAAGGTGTGAGGTAAAACATACTAAAAATTCAGGCTGATCAACCCACTAATAATGAAGTTACGAATTTTCTAAATTAGGCAAAAATGAATACATTAACAAGCCTCTATTTTGGAATTTTCACCTCAAAAACGATCGAGGGTGCAGAGATGAAACTTTGAGGCTCTATTCTTGAAGGTTTGAGGTAAAACATACTAAAAATTCAGGCTGATCAACCCACTAATAATAAAGTTACGAATTTTCTAAATTAGGCAAAAATGAATACATTGACGAGCCTCTATTTTGGAATTTTTTACCTCAAAAACTATCGAGGGCGCAGAGATGAAACTTTGAGGCTCTATTCTTGAAGGTTTGAGGTAAAACATACTAAAAATTCAGGCTGATCAACCCACTAATAATGAAGTCACAAATTTTCTAAATTAGGCAAAAATGAATACATTAACAAGCCTCTATTTTGGAATTTTCACCTCAAAAACGATCGAGGGTGCAGAGATGAAACTTTGAGGCTCTATTCTTGAAGGTTTGAGGTAAAACATACTAAAAATTCAGGCTGATCAACCCACTAATAGTGAAGTTACGAATTTTCTAGATTAGGCAAAAATGAATACATTAACAAGCCTCTATTTTGGAATTTTTACCTCAAAAACTATCGAGGGCGCAGAGATGAAACTTTGAGGCTCTATTCTTGAAGGTTTGAGGTAAAACATACTAAAAATTCAGGCTGATCAACCCACTTATAATGAAGTTACGAATTTTCTAAATTAGGCAAAAATGAATACATTGACAAGCCTCTATTTTGGAATTTTTACCTCAAAAACTATCGAGGGCGCAGATATGAAACTTTGAGGCTCTATTCTTGAAGGTGTGAGGTAAAACATACTAAAAATTCAGGCTGATCAACCCACTAATAATGAAGTTACGAATTTTCTAAATTAGGCAAAAATGAATACATTAACAAGCCTCTATTTTGGAATTTTCACCTCAAAAACGATCGAGGGTGCAGAGATGAAACTTTGAGGCTCTATTCTTGAAGGTTTGAGGTAAAACATACTAAAAATTCAGGCTGATCAACCCACTAATAGTGAAGTTACGAATTTTCTAGATTAGGCAAAAATGAATACATTGACGAGCCTCTATTTTAGAATTTTTACCTCAAAAACTATCGAGGGCGCAGAGATGAAACTTTGAGGCTCTATTCTTGAAGGTTTGAGGTAAAACATACTAAAAATTCAGGCTGATCAACCCACTAATAATGAAGTTACAAATTTTCTAAATTAGGCAAAAATGAATACATTAACAAGCCTCTATTTTGGAATTTTCACCTCAAAAACTATCGAGGGTGCAGAGATGAAACTTTGAGGCTCTATTCTTGAAGGTTTGAGGTAAAACATACTTAAAATTCAGGCTGATCAACCCACTTAGAATGAAGTTACGAATTTTCTAGATTAGGCAAAAATGAATACATTAACAAGCCTCTATTTTGGAATTTTTACCTCAAAAACTAGCGGGGGCGCAGAGATAAAACTTTGAGGCTCTATTCTTGAAGGTTTGAGGTAAAACATACTAAAAATTCAGGCTGATCAAACCGCTAATAATAAAGTTATAAATTTCTTTGTACATTGATAAGCCTCTATTTTGGAATTTTTACCTCAAAAACTATCGGGGGCCCAGAGGTGAAACCTTAAGACTCTATTTTTGAAGGTTTGAAGTAGAACATACTAAAAATTCGAGCTGATCAATGCGCTAATAATCAAGTTAGGAATTTTTCAAATTGGACAAAAATGAATACATTGACAAGTCTCTATTTTGGAATTTTTACCTCAAAAACTATAGGAGGTGCAAACATGAAACTTTGAGGCTCTAGTTTTGAAGTTTTGAAGTAAAACATACTGAAAATTGATGGTAATTTCAGTTTCTCAGGCGGCTCAACCCACCATTAATTTAGTAACCAATTTTCTAAATTAGGCAAAAATGAATATGTCGACAAGCCTGTATTTTGGAATTTTTACCTCAAAAACTATCGAAGGCGCAGAGATAAAATTTTGAGGCTCTATTCTTCAAGGTTTGAGGTAAAACATACTGAAAATTCAGGCTGATCAACCCACTAATAATGAAGTTACGAATTTTCTAAATTAAGCAAAAATGAATACATTGACAAGCCTCTATTTTGGAATTTTTACCTCAAAAACTAGCGGGGGCGCATAGATAAAACTTTGAGGCTCTATTTTTGAAGGTTTGAGGTAAAACCTACTTAAAATTCAAGCTGATCAAACCGCTAATAATAAAGTTATAAATTTCTTTGTACATTGATAAGCCTCTATTTTGGAATTTTTACCTCAAAAACTATCGGGGGCCCAGAGGTGAAACCTTAAGACTCTATTTTTGAAGGTTTGAAGTAGAACATACTAAAAATTCGAGCTGATCAATGCGCTAATAATCAAGTTAGGAATTTTTCAAATTAGATAAAAATGAATACATTGACAAGTCTCTATTTTGGAATTTTTACCTCAAAAACTATAGGAGGTGCAAACATGAAACTTTGAGGCTCTAGTTTTGAAGTTTTGAAGTAAAACATACTGAAAATTGATGGTAATTTCAGTTTCTCAGGCGGCTCAACCCACCATTAATTTAGTAACCAATTTTCTAAATTAGGCAAAAATGAATATGTCGACAAGCCTGTATTTTGGAATTTTTACCTCAAAAACTATCGAAGGCGCAGAGATAAAACTTTGAGGCTCTATTCTTCAAGGTTTGAGGTAAAACATACTGAAAATTCAGGCTGATCAACCCACTAATAATGAAGTTACGAATTTTCTAAATTAAGCAAAAATGAATACATTGACAAGCCTCTATTTTGGAATTTTTACCTCAAAAACTATCGAGGGTGCAGAGATGAAACTTTGAGGCTCTATTCTTGAAGGTTTGAGGTAAAACATACTAAAAATTCAGGCTGATCAACCCACTAATAATGAAGTTACGAATTTTCTAAATTAGGCAAAAATGAATACATTAACAAGCCTCTATTTTGGAATTTTCACCTCAAAAACTATCGAGGGTACAAAGATGAAACTTTGAGGCTCTATTCTTGAAGGTTTGAGGTAAAACATACTAAAAATTCAGGTTGATGAACCCACTAATAGTGAAGTTACGAATTTTCTAAATTAGGCAAAAATGAATACATTGACGAGCCTCTATTTTGGAATTTTTACCTCAAAAACTATCGAGGGCGCAGAGATGAAACTTTGAGGCTCTATTCTTGAAGGTTTGAGGTAAAACATACTAAAAATTCAGGCTGATCAACCCACTTATAATGAAGTTACGAATTTTCTAAATTAGGCAAAAATGAATACATTGACAAGCCTCTATTTTGGAATTTTTACCTCAAAAACTATCGAGGGCGCAGATATGAAACTTTGAGGCTCTATTCTTGAAGGTGTGAGGTAAAACATACTTAAAATTCAGGCTGATCAACCCACTTATAATGAAGTTACGAATTTTCTAAATTAGGCAAAAATGAATACATTAACAAGCCTCTATTTTGGAATTTTTACCTCAAAAACTAGCGGGGGCGCAGAGATAAAACTTTGAGGCTCTATTTTTGAAGGTTTGAGGTAAAACCTACTTAAAATTCAAGCTAATCAAACCGCTAATAATAAAGTTATAAATTTCTTTGTACATTGATAAGCCTCTATTTTGGAATTTTTACTTCAAAAACTATCGGGGGCCCAGAGGTGAAACCTTAAGACTCTATTTTTGAAGGTTTGAAGTAGAACATACTAAAAATTCGAGCTGATCAATGCGCTAATAATCAAGTTAGGAATTTTTCAAATTAGATAAAAATGAATACATTGACAAGTCTCTATTTTGGAATTTTTACCTCAAAAACTATAGGAGGTGCAAACATGAAACTTTGAGGCTCTAGTTTTGAAGTTTTGAAGTAAAACATACTGAAAATTGATGGTAATTTTTCTCGAATATCTCAGCTAAACTTCAATATTATATAAGTAAAAAAGAATTAATTGCTTTTCATATTTTTTTTTTCAAGTACAAAAACTTAGAAACTAACCAACGGCTAATAGAATTATATTACACTCTAAACAGGGCGTCAGCAAACGTTAAAGAAATTCCTTGGGCTTGCGCGAGGACGGTACCGGCACCGGTTCCTGCAAGTGCAACATCTTTGTACTTTCAGTCGGACTGGAACTGTCCGGCGACGTTACTGCCACCTGCTTGCCACTTGTTGGTGTTGGTACCTACAAAAATTATTCATTAGTTCAAGATTTAATAATCGATACACTAGTACTTGTGGTGCTGATCCTTTTATTCGCGTTTTCGATCGTCTTTTCTTTAATATCACCGTGCCTAGACCGGTACCACCACTCAAAAGCTCAGTTGGCCTTTCCGCATTATTGTTGGAAGACTTTTTCGCTGGTTCAGCCGCTGAATCGCCTACAGGCGATTGGGAACTGGAACCGCTCTCAGGGCTGAGCCTCTTTAAAATTTCACTAAGCATTTCCTCCATTCGGTTCATTTTCTGGTTCATTTTTTGTATTTCCAGCTTGACGTCTACCTAAAAATAATGAGTCAATTTTTGTTTGGATTATAAAACCGCTTGTCTCTGGAGATTCTACTCCTTCTTCTCCTGATCAAATAATGCCATTTGGGCTCACAAATGCTCCCGCAACTTTTCAAAGCACCTTGTCTGTAATTATAGTGTCGGACTGGTACTTACTTTGAAATCCATAAGGTTGGTAAGTAATTCTTTATATTCTAGTGGAGCTATTGGTTCGGGGACGGCTGTTTGATACATCGAGGCGATTGATGGATCTCGGAGGCCGCAATCGTAGCTTTGCATTTTTCGTAGGGACAAGTTTCTTGGTTGTTCTACTTCTACCATTTCGTCGATGGTATCTTGCCTTGTTATTGCTACAAAAAAGCCATTGTAGACGAGGATAGATGGATCTATCAATAAATACCTGGACTAGAAGTTGCAGAAACCTTTTGCAACTTGGGAAATATCTTGTTGCCAGATCCAGGTGCGGGTTGAGTGCCGGAACTGCCCGATGATGACGAACTGGGTCGGTCTTTTGGATCTTTGGCGCTGAGGCTGCGTTGAAAGGCCGCCGCTGTTTGAGCCGAGGTTTCCGAGCCTGAATCCAAACTGGCTGAACCCAAGAGTCTGCTCCATTTACTCCCGCGTACTATTCAAGAGAAAAGAGAATTATTGATAGATGACAATAACGAAAATGTTAATTTATCTGAAATATTATATATTGATAAAATAAAAACACAGGCTCGGTGGCTAGATGTGAAAGTGTGTGTTTGTGGAGGGTATCATTGAAGATTAAGGGTACAGCTTTCACATAGGTGCCCAAAACTGGAACTGTTGCGCTTCTTTTGAGAGTTCTGTTTGTCTTAGGAAATCTGAATTATTCCTGTTGTATTTATTGCTACATCTTCCCGCTCTACTCCCCGATTCTACTCCTTCTCCTGATTAAATAATGCCATTTGGGCTCACAAACGTCCCCGCAACCTTTCAAAGAGGAATGAATGCCTTGTCTGTAATTTTGACTAAAACCGCTTGTCTCTGGAGATTCTACTCCTTCTCCTAATCAAATATTGCCATTTGGGCTTACAAATGCCCCCGCAACCTTTCAATGCCTTTTCCGCCATTTTACTATTAGTAATCACTGGGCAAATGTCAATGCTGAGTCTCAAAATGGCGTTTTACTTGATTTGATTGGTTGATAAGTTCCAAATTTCCATATTCCATTGGTCAGAATCAATTTCTGATTATTCCCGGCTGTTGATTCAGTTCCAAGAGCCGGGAATAATAACTCAATGAAATACTTTTTCTCCTTAAAACGCCATCTAACTGTATATGTAACAACCTTTTGAGAATGTTGCTATGATAAATCCGCCATTTTACTATTAGTAGTCACTAGGCAAATGTCAATGGAGAGTCTCAAAATGGCGTTTTACTTGATTTGATTGGTTGATAAGTTCCAAATTTCCATATTCCATTGGTCAGAATCAATTTCTGATTATTCCCGGCTTTTGATTCAGTTCCAAGAGCCGGGAATAATAACTCAATGAAATACTTTTTCTCCTTAAAACGCCATCTACTTACATATGTAACAACCTTTTGAAAATGTTGCTATGATAAATCCGCCATTTTACTATTAATAATCACTAGGCAAATGTCAATAGAGAGTCTCAAAATGGCGTTTTACTTGATTCGATTGGTTGATAAATTCCAAACTTCCATATTCCTAAGTAGGTCTTCAATTCGCTGAACTTGGTATACAAGTGTTGGGCATATTGCTTGGTGAAGTATTGGTGTTCGCTGTGTCCTTTTATTTCTATCATCGCAGCCTCGTTTTTCTGGATTGTTTGAAGTCTTGCATCCTGATTGGACAAGTGTTTTTGGACGTAGGCCTCGGTTTTCCTATCTATCTACTGAGTCTTTTTGCAGTTACTTAGCAGCTGAACCATTTACAATCCAGATTTTTCTTGTTCTTGTGCGAGACGGTCAAGTAAAAATAACCGTGAAACATGATACCCCTGTTTGTTCCCACATTAAACGTCGACGGTGTGCTGATTCATGAATTTTTCTTATTTACCACTTTGGCATCCTGTAAAAGGACACAACGAACTTTACACTATTTACGCTAGATGGCGCCACCGATAACATCATGACGTCGAAAAATTTCGGTCAAATCTTTGAAATTTCAGATCAAAGGCGCCACCGATTTAGAGATTTTCCCACGGTATCGAAAAATTTCTCAGGCTTAGATGCTCCTGTCACTACTACTAATAATGCTATTAAAAGTATAGATGTAAAATCTTTTGAAACAATTTCGGTAAATTATGAGTATTGGTATCTTCATGTTCGTGTGGAAAAGAATCACTACACATATGAACTGTGTGTCTATTACAGATCATCTAATGGTAATATCACAAATTCTTTGCCTGGGAATTAAAACTATCTATATTTAATTGACAAAAGTTTTACCTGATGAAGGTCTGGTGACTGTGGTTTTCACTCCGCCGCCGCTACTGTCGTCCTTTTCCGCCACCGATGATAGTTTCGTAGTTGAGACGACTCTGGTGATGTTTTTGTCACTGTCCTCGCCGCCCTTCTCTACGTCGCTTTGAGTTGGGGCGGCGGCAGCTGCCGCCGCCGCCGCCTGACTTCTGTCTCTTCGGAATTTTGAAAAGATTTTCCTTACTAAGTGATCTTGGTTTTGGTCCAGTTGCGGCTCGTTTTTCCTTCTCTCAGCTAATTCTTTTTCCCTTTTTACATCGGCTACTTTTCTAAATATCAAGCGGTGTCTAAGGTTATATGTGAGAATCAAATTTCTGGCGAAACTATTGGCAAAAGCTTGATAGAAATCTAAAACTTCGAGTAATTTGTCTCGCTTTATTGTGTGCAAGTCGCAGTAGGTCAAAGCTCGGACATTGGCTGCTGATTGCCCTACAGCGTTGTCTTTCCAAAAAGAATCCCCAAACACATCTCCTTTGCCTAAAATAGCCACAACTTCATCATCTTGAATAACTTCCAAAGATCCAGTAACAATAAAACACAAAGAATCTATTGATTCGCCTGTATGATAGAGTAAATCGCCTGGAGCTGAGTGCGACATTGTGAAGTGCATTGCTAAAGCCCTGAGGCAACCATCTGATGCCAACCGAAAAGCAGGATGTTCGTTGAAGACTTTGCGGTTGAGGTGGACGCAAATGTCTGCTTTCATGTCTTTTGGACAAAAATTTAAAACCTGAAATGTAATATTTAGTAACAATCTTGATGCAATTTTTGAATTTATTTACCTTGTCTTGGTCCAAACCTTTGGTCATTGCCCAAGTAGACACAACATAGTCCATTACTCTTTCCGATAAGGCTTTTGGTACTTCGTGCAACTTCATAAACTCTCTGACATTGTTGAGCATGTCGTGGTACTTTGCAGTTGCTGACGTCATTTGCTGTATTATTGTGGTTACGTGACCGAAAATTGTAGCGTACAGCAAAGCTGAAATTTTAATTAGTAATGTGTTGGCTCTATTTATTGCACCCTTGGGTGAAGGGTTTAATTTTCCTTTCGCATGTCGTTTAAAATGTTTTGTTGTGTGTGTTGGGGGAATTGTGGGTGATGGCACTCTAAACAATTTCGAACAATCGAATTTAATTATTGGAATTTTTGTTTTGCAGGTGGTTGAATGCAGCCATAATAGGTGAGTCGATATAAATTTGTATTAAATTTTGCATTTGTGTATTGTTGTTGTGAGTTGGGAGAAGACTCTAAGGGCCTTGTCCTACCAAAGAAGTAATGTCAGCGTGTAATTTTTGTAAATTTTGAATGCTATATGTCTAAAACAACAAGGGACAAGTTTTGGGTAGATTTGTATACAGTTTTGATTTGAGTAGTCCTGTATATAGTTTTGGGTAGATCTGTATAATACAGGTCTACAGATTTGTACTTTACCCACCTGCAATGATCATCATACAAATCGTAAATATTCTTTCGTTGTCGGTTTCGGCGGCGACATTTCCAAAACCCACCGATGTCATACAAGTCATGGTAAAATAGAGTGCTGTAACATACATGGTTTTTCTTGACGGCCCGTTGATAAGTTCCGGTGTACTGGAAAAGATCAAAATGTTAATATCGTAAAACTTTTACGATGATAAATATTTACTAGGCAATCGAGAATACAATCGTAAAACTGTATTTCTCGTTTCGCCAAAGGGTCGATAAAAGAAAAGTGCAAATTTAGCTGGTTTGTTCTAACCATTCCAGAATTTACAGTTATGGATGTGCATTGAAATAAACTATAAACTAGTATCGTAAAGATTACCTAGAGTCGTTAGGCCAAACGTAAGAATAAGGGCTTTGGGTGATATTGGCCAGTTTCCAAAGCCAGCTATATTGGACTCCGTTGTCGGCGTCGGACCGGCCTATCGAGTACCATATGCAAGCTAGCCAATGGGCGACCTGAAAAAGGATTAATGAAATATTTGTTTAAATCCATAGCTGGAGGATTTTCGCTTGGCTTGCTTTACATATGTGCATATAAAAATCAATCAAATTATTATAGATATAAAATTTATAAAACTCCTTGCCTAGATCGGTCTGTAAAATATTGTTATAAACCCGCCACTCGTACTTTTTGATTGCCCCCTGTAACTACAGCTAAAGAAGCCAGAAAATTCTACTATTTTCAAGATGAACTGAATCACGAAAATTTGAGAGTGTTAGAGAAGGACGCACATAACTATAAAAGCCCCGGTGCGCACTGCGTAAGGATCAGTTCTGATTGATTGACGTACGACAAGTGCAGTAAACTTTAGAGTCAGGAACTAAATAACCACGTTCGAAAATAATCGTTCCGTAAAAGCTTTATTTGGAGTGTAAGGTAGTGTTAAATTTCGTCTCACTTATCTGCGACCCCGTAAAAGTAACAATAGTTATAAAATTATAAAACTCCTTGCCTAAATCGGTTTGTAAAATATTTAGCCAATTCACTTACCAGCATGTAAAAACACAGCAAAAGTATAAGCATAGCGGCTCCGTACTCGAGATAGCGGTCCAATTTACGGACAACCCTTCCTAGTCGTAGAAGTCTCACTACTTTTAAAGCACTAAATAAGCTTCCTATGCCCTGAAATGGAAATAGCAAACTTCATTTTTGATTTTTGTGTTTTTGATTTAGAGGAAATACAATTATAAAAGTGACATTAGATATTATTTAGCCTGGTATATACCCTGTATATCTCGTATGCAAAATCTATTTTAAGCCTGATTGTCAACGAAACTAGGCCTCGCATCCAGCGCGTTGAGTAGGGAATTTAAACTCACTGCTTTATCCTCGCAACTTTTGCTATTCATAGGTGGAGTTTAATTGGATTTACGCCAAAATTCGTGTTGTTGACACTTTTTCTAAATTACCATGAAACTCTGCTGCTTGTTGAAAAAGCCAAACTTCAGATATGAAGTTTAATATATTCTTGAATCTGTTTTTAAGTTGAGATACTTGTTACTTTTATCTCAAAGTCTGGCTACAATTATCAACTTCAAAACAGATAAATCTCGAGCGAAAAGATAAAGTCGTAAAGTTTTCTCAGTCTCGTTGAGCCGAGCAACCTTTTCTGGCTCACGAAAGTTTTTCCAAGGAAACTTTAAAACATTAAGAAAAATGATCTTTTATAAACGGATAAGATCGTCAAGTTTCAATGCACAATTAGGTAAAAGTTAAAGTTTGAGACACCCAAGGTTGTTTGAGAAAGCTAGGTTGCCTGATGACTTTATGGGAGGCCTCAATATAATGCAAATCTCCATAAGCACTCCAGACACGTCATAAGGAACCCATAAACCCATGACCTCCGAATTGATGCTGACTAGCCGTAAACAGTATAATTAGGCAGTTGCCAAAAAAGTACGTTGTAGGAAGTCCTATCCACGTTTCATCTGTTCAACGTAGAACTCAACGTGGTTCTATCAGAGTGGTACCAAAAGGGTTGCTGAAGGGAAGCTACCAAAGCCTCAACTAAGAGCAATCTAGGTCCAGCCTAGAATCTCTCTAGATACAGCCTAGGATCCTCTAGATACAGCCTAGAACCTTCTAACTGGGGGATACTCTAGGCCAAAAGTGAAGTCTTAAACTTCCAAAAACTGCTCGGAACCATCCGAAACAAAATCCGAAATGAATGAAGGGACAACTCGACAATGATCAACAAGAAATAAGTCTAATTTAATTTGAGTTTCCCTGGCACAAAATTCCAGAAAGTCTTGCCTAAAAATGATTAGGGCCAAGACTGACCTCACAGTATCAGGTCTCAAGATCAAAAGGGCAGATTCTTCCTTTTAGATTTGGAAAGAGGGGTTCCCTTTGTCAAACTTCTAATTTTGACATTTATGAAAATTATAGGATAGGGAGTGTTAAGGTAAGATGTATAAAAGGAACCCATAAACCCATGACCTCCGAATTGATGCTGAGTAGCCGTACACAGTATAATTAGGCAGTTGTCAAAAAAGTACGTTGTAGGAAGGCCTATCCACGTTTCATCTGTTTAACGTAGAACTCAACGTGGTTCTATCAGAGTGGTACCAAAAGGGTTGCTGAAAAGAAGTTACCAAAGCCCCAACTAAGACCAATCTAGATCCAGCCTAGAATCTCTCTAGATACAGCCTAGGATCCTCTAGATACAGCCTAGAACCCTCTAACTGAGGGATACTCTAGGCCAAAAGTGAAATCTTAAACTTCCAAAAAATTGCTCGAAACGATCCGAAACAAAATCTGAAATGACCAAAGGACAACTCTAGACAATGATCAACAAGAAATTAGTCTAATTGGCACAAAATTCCAAAAAGTCTTACCTAAAAATAATTAGGGCCAAGACTGACCTCACAGTATCAGATCAAAAAGGCAAGCTCTTCCTTTTAGATTTGGAAAGAGGGCTTCCCTTTGTCAAACTTCTAATTTTGACAATTTATGAAAATTATAGAAAAGGGCGTGTTAAAGTAAGATGTATACAAGGAACCCATAAACCCATGGCCTCCGAATTGATGCTGACTAGCCGTACTCAGTATAATTAGGCAATTGCCAAAAAAAGTACGTTATACTTCTTGGCGCCCAACGTGGGGCCGCAAAAGATTGGATTGAAGTCCACTTAGACGCCAATACCAACCAAGAAGGAAGAACGGGCATTGGGATAAACGTGACAATGACGAACAAATATCAAAAAGAGCCCCAGACAACACAAGCACAGATGCAGCCGAAATGTTGGCAATCCTGAAAGGCATGCGAGTAGGAGAGCAGCTGGGGATCGACAAAATAATGGTGATAACGGACAGAAAACAGACGATAATGAAACACACAATTGAAGATAAGACAACAGCGCATGCTCTGAAGCTGGCGGAAGATTTCCTGGATTATAACAAGTCTCTCACATTCAAATGGAGGAAAGGCCACAGCCAAGACAACCCAGGCAACTCAGAAATAAACCCAAGCCTATGTACAAATACACAGACAGACAAAGAGTGAAAAGAGAGCGAAAGTGCAGGATCCTAGCGCAAAGGACAAATGAGGAGAACTACACAGACACTGCCGAAAGGTGAGTGTGGACAAACTACTACTAAGCTTAAAAGTAATGCAGCTGCTCACTGGGCACGGTAACTTGAACCACTACATACAGAGACAAGAAAACAAAAACAAAAAAGAGGCTCCTTCTACCGCTAATTTAACCATAGTTGGCGTTGGGCTGTAGGGGTTTTTGATTACTGAAACAAGGTTCCACTGACGGTGGTTTCTCTAGATATTGCATACGACCTTCGATGTTGGACATCTAAAGTTTATGCTAAAAGGCGGGAAGCTTGTGGTTTGCCACAGTCGAATGCTGTGGCATACCAGCCTCCCAAACTTATAGATACAGAAAGTAAAATTTATGTGATTTTGAGGAAATATTTTTGAGTTTTTGAGACAAAATACATGATTCTACTTACGTCTTCATCGTGGTCGAAAGCATTGAAAACGTCGTAAGGCAAACAGCTCAGCAGATCGATAATGAACCAGCTTTTCAAGTAATTCATCCGGATCACTTTCGGATCGGAAACGACCTCGCCTCCCGGTCCGACGAATGTCGTATGAAAATTAAGTACTATGTCAATAAAGAATATCACATCGACAATTGAGTCCACAACCAACAAGGAGACGTCTTCGGACGTCTTGTTCTTAAAAGCTACATTATAAGGAACCTAAAACAAAATTTGAATTTACTATATGTTGTTTTGGAAGCAAATAATGTGTGTAAACTCTGTTTAACCAACGTTGAACGTTGAAGGTCACTTACTCACTTGAAATAGGTGTGAATCCTATGATTACAAGAATGAGTAAGTGACCTTCAATGTTCAACTTTGGTTAGACAGAGTTTATGTGCAAATGAAAATGAATTTGGTTTGGAACAAAGCTGCTCAGAATGTGAAAACGAGTCCAGTGCGACTGTTATATGGTGCGTTGTTCACAAAAAGTGTTGAGTGTTTAGGTGTAAACATACTTATAAGATTTGAAAAATTATCAAAAATGAACAATCAATAGTGGGGTAGGGTAACCCATAATAATCTGAAATACAAACTACTGGTGCAAATTATAAAAATGGAAAAATCACAATAAACACCCTACCCCATTATGATAATCCAGAACCATTAGGGAGACATCTTCCGATGCCTTCTTCCTAAAAGCTACGTTAAAGGGTACCTGAAAAATAAACAAAAAATAAAAATTAAAACAACAAAATCAATTATTGAAAATGTCTCTGGGGTTGTTGTTATGTGTTTCTCACTATTACCCAGCAAATGAATACTTACCATAATAGCAGTATAAAAAGTTAAACAAAGAATAATCCAATCCCAAATGGCTTTGAAGGCGCAATAGTGCAGTAGGATGTGTGGTGGGGTCTTGGGAGCTTCTTGCCGATATTGAGGCATAATATCTGCGCTCAAACTCATCATCTAAGGAAGAATTGTGTCAAAATATAAATCTTTTCATATAAAGATAGAGTTGAGAAAACAACTCTAAAATTAGAAACTGACTTGTGCCAGGTGCGACTGTTTCGTTGTATCTTTGAGGTTGGGCAGGTGCGACGAGAATTGAGACACCAGCACCGATCTGCTCCTTGTTACTGATCTTGCAAGCTTGGCGAATTTCGATAGTCCTGTTTGAAAAATATTATTTTGAAAAGTTTTTAGGGTACTGGAGCGAAAGCCTATTATAGCTCTGTTCCAACCAACATGAGATCCGTTCCAGAACTAGTAATTTCCATTCTAGAACAGTTCTCATGCAGGTTGGAACAGTGCTTATATAAAAAAAAAAAAACATAAATTACCTCCTTTTGAGTCGTCGGTTTCTATAGGCTGTTTGAGAGCCGTAATGTCCCTGAAAGTAAGCAGGAACAGTACAACTAGGTCCCTCTCGTTTTTGATTGGAGATATTTGGAGCAGCAGCCATAGCGGAGTCTCTAAAAAAATCCCAACAAACACAATGACAATTATTAAAAACGATTTGTTTGTGCTCTATTGGCTTAATTATTATCCGGTCACAATCCAATGTCCACAAGTTCAGGTAAAATTACCTATACCTGTGGACATCGGATTGTGAATAGGATATAGTTGTTATTTTAGTAACGTAAATCCTTTATTTTTGCCCTCTTGTTTTAAAAGTTTAATCATTGATTTAGCACAATTATGATTTGGTGCGTGCCGCACGAAAATGCACAAGTTTTAATGCTCGTATCGTGACTCCTATAGTTTGCGATGACAAAATTTATTTATATAATGTCGGCATTGAGGTTTTAGTTATTGGGGCAAAATGGCTGGAATCGATCAAGGAAAATGCAACAGTGGTTCAGTTAATGCGGCTCTTGATTGTTCTTTAGGAAAATTCAAATCCAATTTTTGGGATTTTCTTAATTTTGACTTCAGGAATCGATAAAGCGAGTCCAAATTGGTTAGAAATAACTCTAACAACAGTTACATTTGACAATTTTGCTGAGAAAAAAAAAATCCAATTGATGAATAATTGCCAATATCTTTCATGATTTTTGAGAAAATTGCTTACAATTATACATCATTGGAAAGAGTATTAAATTCTCTATAAACCTGTGTAGAATTCAGTTTTCTAGCTTTAGAAGTTTCCAAGATATTAGGGTTCAAAGTTGAAATTTAGTCTAGATTTTGTCCAAAACTTTAAACTCGATTTTCGCAAACACCGTAAACGCTAGCGATTTCAGTTAAATATCATTTTGAAGAGTTTTTCAAGGGCTACAATTTCTGAAAATTTTGCCCATATTTTCCATGACTTTTGAGAAAATTTCTTACAATTATACATCATTAGAAAGAGTATTAAATTCTCTATAAATCTGTGCAAAATTGAATTTTGTATCTTCTGAAATTTCCAAGATATCGAGGTTCAAAGTTGAAATTTAGTCTAGATTTTGTCCAAAACTTCAAACTCGATTTTCTCAAAAACCGCAAACGCTAGCTAAATACCATCTGAAAGCCCTCATCAAAATCTACAATCCCTAATAATTTTGTCTCAATACCGCTTCCGGTTACCGAGATATTGAGCTTTAAAGATTTGTAAATTAAAATCTAAACCCTTACAAAAAAGGGCAAAAAATTGAAAATTTGTATTTTCTCCAATTTTGACTTTAGAAATCGATAGAGCGGGTCCAAATTAGTCAGCAACAACTCTAACATCACTTGCATTTGAAAAGTTCAGCAATTAACTTATTAATAAGACGTTCTCATTTAAAAAAATCAGTGAGTAAACATTTTGACTTGAAAATGAAAGAGTTTTTGATTCAATGAGTGAAGACTAGAGCCGGCACAAGTACATTACGAAACTACCTACTTGATGTACAAGTATGAAGTAAATAGATTTATTTGAAGTACAAGTACAAGTTATTTGAAATTATACTTTGATTATAGATAAAACCAACTCTGAAAAAGCCATCGCGTGATCTTTTGTCTCACTTCAAATAGGAGGGCCCTAGAGAAAATAAATTTGCCTTCTTCTCAGTGATGGCGACAGGGTTTCTTCTTAGTTAGTTTTACCTTTATATCAAGTGCAAATCATTGTTATTTTTTTTGGAATCATATACCATTACATACTATGTCATATATCAATCAGGAATACATATGGAATTGCTTGGAATTCCCTGAGAATCGCTCGGAATCTCCTAGGACTCCATGGGAATCCATTAGCAATCGCTGAAAATCATGTTGGGAATAACATCTCATTCTAATCCAAAAATCTCATGTCATATTAAATTTTTCACACATTTTAAAAACTCAACAATATAAACCCTATTATAACCAATAATTTGAATATGGATTCTCTTCTAGCCTTTCAAAAGCGCCAGTAGCATGACATGTCCCTCAATTTTCCTGTAAATTGATTGACTATAGAATAGTATACAGTTCCAATTAGGTAAAAGCATGAATTGATTTTAGATTCCTTGCCTTCAAGAATTTCTTCAGTTACTTTTTCAATGTAATTCAAGTGTTAGCGGACTTAATTTTAAAAGATTTTGAATTATAACATTTGGTGGCAACATAGGTAAAGGATTTACAGTCCTTTGCCTGGGCACTGCATAGAGCCCAATGACCTATTATCACAGATAGACAGAGTATTCCATTCATAAAATACTATTTGTTGTGATGACAACATGTTTATAGGCCAGGGGGGATTTGGGGTGCGGGCGGGCCACGGTGGGGATAAGTCGCCCGATCTAAGTCCGGCCTCAACAGCTGTGCCATGAACCAGACCCAATTGGTCCCGCCCCGAAACCAAAACGATGATATTCAAAAAGTATTCCAGACTAACACGAACATATCTTGTGTATCGGTCTTTTTTTAACATATACTAATCATCATCGCATTATATAGAGACAACAAGATGCTCTGAGCGAGAACAGAACGTATTACTACGACAAGCAGGAGGCCGAGTTTAGTCTAGTACTGTGTTGCCAAGTGTAATTGAAAGGCTGGATTTTATACCTGCGTTAGAAAGAGAAAATAAATATTCCTACGGCATTTAGTAGTGGGGGAGTTTAGTCAGGATAGAAAGAATCGGACATGTTGTCAACATATATTATTGTTTATAAATCCGTCTATCTGTGATAATAGGTCATTGATAGAGCCCCTATGTCGAATAGGCCAATTGTGTATATTTGACCCCTACTTTTCAGTAGGTTGAACTCCGGTTGACGAGTACTAATTCACACATGTGCAAGAAAAATCGCTTGTCCAGTCTGAGCCACACCGACTCTATATAGCAGGGTGTGATAATACTGGATAATGCTCCTTTTAATTTTCTAAATGCGGAATCGCATTCTTGGGTCCAATTGAATGTTGATTTTTCTTCCGTTAATCGATAAAGCGGAGCAGCTTTATTTACAAATCCTGTCACAAATCTTCGATAATAAGAACATAATCCTAGAAGACTCCTTAGTTCATTTTGTCGCGTGGTTTTGGCCAATTCCCGACAGCATCTATTTTCCCTTTCATAACTTGTATGCCATCTTCAGATACCACGTGACCAAAAACTTCCACTTTGTTTTGAAATAGAAAACATTAATTTGGATTCAGTTTTAAGTTAGCATTCCGGAAGCGGTCAAAAATTTCTTTCAGGTTATTGAGATGTTCTTGGAACGAATTTCCCATAATCATGACATCATCCAAATATACCAGGCAAGCTCTCCAAAACTAGATGCATCAGTCGCTTAAACGTAGCTGGAGCATTACACAGTCCGAAAGGCATCACGTTAAACTGGTATAACACGCAGGCAGTTTTCTCTTTGTGATCTTTGTGTATTGCCATGAAAATTAAAAAAGTTAGGAATTTTTTACGAAAATCTTTTTTTTGGGGGGAAAAAATCATTTCTCGAAGACTAAAAGACCTACAGGGTTATATGATGGCTCATTTTAAAGCTTATTCAATGCTCTAAAACTATTGTCAGAGTAACAAAACCATCCGATCATTAGTTTTCGAAATACAGTGAAATAAACAAAAAAAAAGGCCTATTTTTGCACTAAATAGGTATTGTTTATAAAATCCCCTAAAAGTAATTAGATGTTGCATTTTTGGTTTTTAGCATCTATAAATGATCATTAACAATACTGCATCGATAGTTTGCTGTTAAATTTTATGTTAAAATATGGCTGTTATTTCGCTAAGTGCCTTGGCCTATTGGGAAACGTGCATGCTATATCTGGATGATGTCATGGTGATTGGTAAAGATTTCGACGAACACCTGTCGAATTTGAAAGACGTTTTTGCCAGGATTCGAAAAGCCAATCTGCAACTAAATCCCAAGAAGCGTGTTCTATTCCAGGAAAAAGTAAACTTCCTCGGCCATGTCGTTTCATCAAAAGGAATAGAGACAGATTCAGATAAAGTCCAAGCTGTGCGAGATTGGCCCAGACCAAAGAATAAACATGAATTTAGAAGCTTCCTGGGACTCTGCAGTTACTACCGCCGGTTTGTCAAGGATTTTGGGAAGATTGCGAAGCCTTTACATGGAATAACCGAAAAGAACGTCCGTTTTGATTGGATACCTGAATGTCAACGGTCTTTCGTGGAGCTAAAAAATAAATTGACTAGTGCTCCAGTTCTGGCGTATCCCAGGGATGAAGGGCTATTTATGTTAGACACCGACGCTTCGCAAAGTGGAATATGGGCTGTTCTCTTCCAAATTCAAAACGGCAAAGAAGTAGTAATTGGATACTTCAGTAAGTCCATTGAAAAGGCAGAGAAGAATAATTATTGTGTCACCCGAAAGGAGCTTCTGGCAGTAGTAAGATCTATTGAACATTACCACAGCTTTCTCTATGGCCGGAAGTTCCTAGTTAGAACTGACCATAGAGTAATAATTATACATCATTGGAAAGAGCATTAAATTCTCTAAGCTTTGTAGCTTGTAGAGTTTTAGAGATATTGAGCCTCGAAGTTGAAGCTTAGTCTACATTTTGTCCAAAACTTCAAACTCGATTTTCTCATAAACTATAAATGGTAGCGATTTCAATTAAATATCATCTTAAAGCCCTTGTCAAGAGCTACAAATACTGGAAATTTTTTCCCAGTACCGTCGGTGGTTATCAAGATATTCTGGTTTGAAGATTTGCAAATGAAAATTCAGAAGTGAGTGCAAAAAATTGAAAATTTTTATTTTTGGATTTTTTTTGACTTTAGAAATCGATAGCGCGAGTACAAATTAATCAGAAACGACTCTAACATCAGTTACATTTGAGAATTTTGATGTCAAAAAAGAAATCTCTTTTTTGGCTCTGGTGATTATTTGAAATCTTGACACACTCATGATTAATTGCTTATATCTTCGACAAAATTTAAGAAAATGACATACAATTATACATCATTGAAAAGAGTATTAAATTCTCTATAAGTCATAAAAAATTGGTTTTCGTAGCTTGTGAAGTTTCCGAAATATTGAACTTC